TCAGTGGCTGATTCCAGGAAGCTGGGGGCAGAGCAACTCTGCCTCGGGCTTCCTGTAGTCAGCCCCTGGTCAGTTTCAGCAGCAGCAGCTGAATCTGGAGCCAGTTCCGAGTTACGTACAAATTCAACTTAAGAACAAACCTATAGTCCCTATCTTGTACGTAACCCGGGGACTGCCTGTATAGCAATTAGGTGGAGCAACATTACATTCCAAGAGAGAAATTAATTCTGCATGGCCACAGTTTCTACTTTTTGTACAATCACCATTGTTCTTATGAGTTGCCAGGTATTTTGCACTTCTGTGTTGCCCTAATAAAAATGCAGAACTCAATTTTTGAAACTCTACCAGCAAATTACTACAGCATGGAGTTACAAAAAACAAAACAAAACAAAACAAACCCCACCACAACCAAAATTAATTTCTCTTTAAAGATTCTTTCTCTCCTGCCTCTAACAAGAGCTGTTTGTGAATGAGGTGCTGGATTTCTGTATGCTGCTATAGAAACTCTAATTATAAACCGTCTAAAGGCTGGTAGTGTAAGTTGTGTACTACATAATTCAAAATGTAGTATTACTCCTGCTAATAATGAGAAATAGAGAAATTATGTGTCTCGGGAAGATGCGTGGGAGAAAAAAAGGCAGGGCACGTTTTGGAGAATGTTGTAGTGATGGATGATGGTGCAAGTGACACAGAGAAATCAATGATACAAAAACAGAGATATGTGTTTGTAAGCTTTCAAGCAACATAGGAAACAAAGCACTACTTTTGTACTTCACACTCTTTGCACTTTCCAGCTCAAGGAATCAAAGTTATCAAATTAAACTATACAAGTGAAACTATGAATAGGGACGTAATAGATCTTCTTACATCTAATTCTAACTCATGTATTCTATCATTGTCCAAGACAGGATACTGGATTAGACAGACTACAGATCTTACTATGTAACATGGGTCCTCTGGTGACACCACTGCCCAAGCTTCTCACTATGAATCAGTATTCGTTCTAGCAAATTAATAATCATAGTGCAACAAAGTATTTTAGAAGAGGTTAGTATTGCCATCACAAATTTGTGCATCTCAGTGTTTAATTCATCTCTAACTGTGAGTCAAAAACTGTGTATTGTGTTTATTTATATTTGTATCCATTATTTTTAAAAAAAACCTGCTTATAATCCATTTGAGAAATGTACTTTGTGGTAAAAGAAACAAGTCCCCCACTCATGTAGACTCAACTCTGATGAGAATTTTCTGTCTCTATTTGTGGTAAGAACTATTTCCCAGGGCATATTTAACTAATAGACTACAATATTTATTTATGTCAAACTAAGGAACTGAGAACCATTGAATTTTAAGTTCATGTTTTCCCTGAGTACCTTTTAGCAATCTTTTTATTTCATTCACTTTTAGAATGCTCACAGTTGCCATAGACCTGAGTATTTTCTCTCATAGGTCACCTTGAAGGTTCACTTATCAAAAAAATCTTTTAAAGTTTATTTCTAAGCAAACTTTATGTTTCAATTCTCAGTTCTAGGAATTACTAACTATGGACATAGGTGAAGCCTGCAATTGTTTTATTCACCCCAAGGATTTGTACACCCAAATCCTCGAAAGAGGAACTTTCGAAGGAAGGCGTTCTTCCTCGTGAAACGAGGTTTACCGCCATTGAAAGAAAAGCCGCGTTCTTTCGAAATAATTTCGAAAGAACGCGGCTTGAGTCTGGACACAGGGGAAGTTTTTTCGGGAAAAGACTACTTTTCCCGAAAAAACCCCTGAGTCTGGACACGGCCTGAGAGGCTAGGGGGATGTAACCTTGTAGAAACAATAGTGGGGGTGGTCTTCCCGAGACAATGACAAACCTTTCTTCATCACCACAGATGAGTCAAAGCATGATATGGGGGCAGTTTTGATGCAAACAGGACAAGATCAATAATTCCAACCTGATGTGTTCCTCAGTAATAAAACTCTCTGAGAGGGAAAGCCACTGGTCTGTCTCCAAGAAGGAATGATATGCCATTGTATATGTTCACACATACAGAATGGGAAGTGACTGTCTAGGAAGGAGTACTGCAGAAATGATCTAGGGGTCATAGCAGGCTACAAGCTAAATATGAGTCAACAGTGTGATGCTGTTGCAAAAAAAAGCAAACACGATTCTGGGATGCAGTAACAGCAGTATTGTGAGCAAGACACGAGAAGTCATTCTTTTGCTCTGCGCTGATTAGGCCTCATTTGGAGTATAGAAGAACTAGAGGACATCCCATAATAGAAGAACTAGAGGACACCAAATGAAATTAATGGGTAGCAGGTTTAAAACTAATAAGCAAAAGTTCTTCTTCACACAGCGTGTAGTCAACCTGTGAAACTCCTTTCCAGAGGAGGCTGTGAAGACTAGGTCTATAACAGAATTTAAAGAGAAACTAGATAATTTCATAGAGGTTAGGTCCATAAAAGGCTATTAGACAGGGGATAGAAATGGTGTCCCTGGCCTCTGTTTCTCAGAGGCTGGAGAAGGATGGCAGGAGAAAAATCGCTTGATCATTGTCTTTGGTCCACCATCTCTGGGGCACCTGGTGCTGGCCACTGTCAGCCGACAGGCTACTGAGCCAGATGGACCTTTGGTCTGACCCAGTATGGCCTTTCTTATGTCCTTATTGTGTCAAGTTCTGGGCACCACATTTCAAGAAAGATGTGGAAAATTTGGAGAAAGTCCAGAGAATAGCAACAAGAATGATTAAAGGTCTAGAGAGCATGACCTATGAAGGAAGGCTGAAAGAATTGGGCTTGTTTAGTTTGGAAAGGAGACGACTGAGAGGGGACATAATAATGATTTTCAGGTATCTAAAAGGGTGTCACAAGGAGGAGGGAGAAAAATTGTTCTCCTTAGGGTATGTCTAGACTACAGGGGTTTTTCAAAAAAAGTAGCCTTTTTTCAAAAAACTTCCCCTGCGTCTACACTGCTGCCACGTTCTTTCATAAGTAAATCGAAAGAACACTACAGTTTTTTTGACTGCTGAAAACCTCATTTTATGAGGAAAAATGCCTTTTTTTGACAGTGCTCTTTCAAAAAAAGGTGCTATACAATGCAAACTGTGCTTTTACGAAGACTGCCTGGGTGCTCTCTTTTGAAAAAACAGCTCACTTTTCGAGGTCCCTTCTAATTCTATAGTTCTATGATTCTATGCTCTAGAGAAGCTTACAAGCATATATTTGGGAATGACATTTTCATCTGCAGACTGATCATTCTGCTCTGCAGTGGCTTCACACGGTCTAAGAGGGTAACAGGAAACTCCTTCAGTGGAGTTTGGCTCTCCAAGACTTTGACTTCGACACAGAACACATCTCAGGAGCTTCTAACAAAGTGGCTGATGCAGTCTCCCATGAAAGTTTCCCAGAGTAAGCAGTCAAAACTCTCCCTATATCTAAGTCGTATTTCATGCCTGTGGGAAATCATGTTTAGTAATCTGTGTATTCAGTAGTGAATGTAGTGTGTGCATGTCCATTATTAACTATATTTTATCCTAGACCTCCAGGAAGAAATCATAGCCAGGGTGGGCCAGCCTGTCTAGCATGGTCAGTGATTTGGGGGGCATGTGATGGATAGAGGGAGTGCTGGACAGCACTCAGTGACTAAAAGGTTAAACTCAGGTAGCTAAGAGTGTTGGCAGGAAGCCAGAAGAACCAATGGGATGCAATGATAACATTTAAATTGTAAATATATACCTACTGCTATCTCTCTTTCTGCGAGTTTTCTAAACCAGAAGGGACATGATTTTTTAAATCCAGGCAGGACTACTATGACTCCAAGAAATCCGGGAATCCTCCAATGGATCCCGTGACGGGATCGAAAGTAAGTAAGGGATATATTTATATTTAGTTCCTATCAGGGTATTTTTTTTTATTTTGCTATTTGGTTAAACTTCTCTGTATAAAATCCATGTCTTTCCTTCCCCATTCACCATATCTAAGGCAGCCCAAAGAGACCATATTTCTTTGCGTTTTGATCTGTTCTTTTCTTATTTGCTCTGTAACATCTAGCAACCAAGTATGCTTTATCAAGTATACCTTTTTGTTTTGTTAATAAAATCACCTTTTTTAAGGTCTACATGTGTGCCTGCCTAGTCTGAGAGGTCAGCTCTCAGAGATGCAGTTTGTTTTCTCTGTTTTTTGTTTCTTTTTTCAAGCTCTCTTGGGACAAAAGTGTTTGGGGGTACCCTTTGGGAAGAAGATCAAGTGTTTCTTCTTGGTTTTCAGGGTTTTTTTCCCCCTTAATTCACTTGATGGTGGCAGCTTATCTTCTAAGGCCAGGGAATCTGTAACCTTGGGGAGTTTTTGTAAGCAGAGCCTGGAGAGGCAAGGTATTTTAAGTTCTCTTGTAGGCCTCCACCTTCTACATTCTGAGGCTACGTCTAGATTGCATACCTTTTTCAACAGAGGTTTTGTCAGATCCTGTTGACAAAGCCTCTGTCGAAAAACAGCATCTAGATTACAATCAGTATTGTCGACAAAGAAAGTCACTTTTTCAAAAGAGAATCTAGATGCTCTTTTTCAAAAAAAGCACAGTTTGCATGCAATAGCACCTTTCGAAAAAAGGCGTTATTCCTCGTAAAATGAGTTTTACTGCTTTTGACAAAACTGCCACATTCTGTTGACTTACTGTCGACAGTACACAGCAGTAGTGTAGATGCAGGTATAGTTTTGTCAACAAAAGCCAACTTTTGTCGACAAAACCCTGTAGTCCTGACACATACAGAGTGCCTGAAGGGGTTTTGAAAAATTCAACCTGGAATGGCTACATATCTATGCAGTCCCTCTTACCTGTTTGTGAGCATGGTCATATGAGTTAATGTGATTGTCAAACTCTTGATGTTTGTAGTATTGTTTGTCACAGAGTTCACAATAGAAGTTGGCCTTAAGGTCTTCTAAAGCTTTTGCTATTGTGTTCTCCTTTTCAGCATAATCCTGAAAGAAAAGAAAAGAAAAACAAAAAAACAAGCAGAACATTAGTTATCCCTTTGCTGCTATAAGCTGGATTTGTGCTGTTCATTTTAATTATATTTGTCAGCAATGATACTGCACACATTTACCATGTCATGCTACACATTTTTTTTCTATCAGGTTAGAGGCAGCCGTTGGGCACATTCCAATTTCCTGAATAACTGATGGTTACTATTAGGATATTGGTCAGATACAAGTCTAGAAAATCATTTTTTTAAGTTCTGCCCATAAAGCCCAAATATTTATCATGTATAATGTTAATATTAATTTCTGTTAAATAACCAGTGTTCAAAAGGTTCCGCATATAGTCTGCCTAAGCAGAAAAAGCATGAAGACAAAAATCACAAATCTAATCTGATTACAGGGAGTTCCAATGGATGATGATTATACAAAGTAAATAGTAATAAACAACAGATGTAGAATGAACTGTCTGAAAATATACACAAATAAATAGAGGATAATTTCTTTGAGGGAGGTTTAATGATTTTTCCTTCAATTTATTTGTCATGAGTAAAAAAAAGAAAGGCACCCCTGCCAGTCATTCATAATTAACCTATTGCAAATAACTAAGGTTAAAATCATCTTGTTTATTATTAGAGAATTAATTATATAAATCCCCACTTGATAGTTGCTTTCCTAGGTACATTGACCATAGCATGGCTTGTTTTTGAAGACCATAGTCAGACTCTGATTCTGATCTCAGATCAGTTTGACATAAGGGTAATTTCACTGACTTCAGTGGTATTATTCTCAATTTGTAGCACTATCTTGGGCTTTTCTATACTACAGAGAAGGTCAAAGCTTCCACAGTTGATTGTCCAGAGTTTGAATTAGCGGGTCTAGTGAAAATACACTAATTTGAACTGAGAGGGCACTCCTGTAGGCGCTGGTAGTCCTGCTCCTTGTGACAAGTAGAGGAAGTTGACTGGAGCATTTGCTTCTGTAGACCTGCTGCTGTTGTGGACAGTGCAGAAACTTATTTAAGATAAGTCAACTCCAGTCATGTAATTAGTGTAACTGGAGTTTTGTATCTTAATTCAACCTTCTGGTATGGTGTAGACCAGGCCATAATGACCAGAAACCATCTTCAGTTTACGAACAACAGGTAATGCTTCCTTTGTTTAATAAATCATTTTTAAACCTTTGTTGCCACACTTATTCTTTTATGTTTCCAGCACATCATATAGTTTTGTTTGACAAAAATGCTTGTTTTGTGCATTTTTACAGAAATGTAATTTTCTAATCAAATACTGCTTGAAGCAAATTATAAATAAAAAAGTCATTCAGTAAATAAATGCATTGACCATTTTCTAAAGTAATAAAAATGTAAAAATTAAGACTTGACCTGAATCTAGAAAATTTTCATGAAAGAAAGATTTCAGATGGCAACTGTACTCTGCAATTCATTCTCTCTTTGACCTCCCACAGTGTGGATGGAGCCAAAATATGATATAAGATACTTTGATTCTAGCTACATAATTAACATAGCTGCAGTTTTGTATCTTTAACTCTCAACTTTCTCCTGAAGTATAGACCAGGCCTCTGAAATCAGAATTGGGCCTGATTATTGCAAATGGCACAAATGTTAATTATTCTATGTACATACAGTCCAGAAAGAATATGTTCGTCTGTGCTTTTGCAGGGAGGGGGGATTAATAGGTGGAGGGGGGCTTATTTTTTAAATTTCCATCAGTATGGGCTTCCAAAAACAACTTTAGTTTCTATCAGTCTGTTTCTCCTAACATCCTCCTTTTTAAGGGATAAAATAAGAAAAATATATGGAAAATAATTTTATAATCATACCTAATTTTGATCTTCTGAAAAATTAATTTAAAAATTCCCTGTTATGCCTAATTATTAGCAACTGTAAAAGCACATCATACAAAATATAGTTTTGTAATAGCTTGAATACATTTGTAATGGTTGATGGGGGTTTCCTAAAGTGTTCAGAAGAGGTGATTTTTTAAAAAGAAATAACAGGGGTAACAATTTTAGTAACTTCAGTTTTATAGTTGCATCTTAAAACAACACTTATTTCAATATAATTCAAAGTGTCAGAACAGCTGGCAAACGTTGATTCACTCACAAGTAGCATAATCATATCTATTTTATCATCTACTTTCATTTGTTACAATAAATTCAGATTGAGTATTTGCTATTAGGATACAGTAGCTAGCAATGTGGTGTTAGTCTTGAAAAGAATATCAAATCAGCTCAGAATTTTATCTTGAATGGAGGCTAAATGGTTCAATGTGTCTAACGCGGGAAGGGGAATTTGCACATTTTAAAAAATGTTTCTTAAAGAATTATGCTTATAAATACTAAGTTTCATATAAAAAACAAGCGAGCTAGCATATAAGTTCCAGGAATGATAAATGCTATTTTATACCTAGAAATATATTTATAATGTATGGGGGCCTAGCCTGGAAGCCCTGCAGTTACTAAAATATATGAAACTCTCTATTTCAAATCACTTCTACCATTGCTTAGGTTGGATGAGTTTGGAGAGAAGTGGAGGGAGTAGAGTCTCTTACAACACTCTGCAGAAGCAGGTCTGGAGTTGTAGGGATGCTTTTCCCATTCAGTCTTACTTGATTTGGAGGGAGGTGCAGTTATATGGCAGAGAGATTTGTGAAATTAGAGCATTTTTACAGCTTTAGAATGTTGTGTACAGCAATTTGGAGGGAAACATGTAAGTGCAAGAATATACATGACAGAAACAATGACAAACTGTGCTGATATTTTTCATTTCTATACCATTTCATTTGAGGATCACAAAGCTCCTTACAAATCAAACACTCATATTCTGCCGTTCTTACTCACTTGGACTAGTACCTAATTGTTTAGTATCTTCATTGATGTCAAGGGTACTGCTTCTGGAATAAAGTACTATTTACCATAAGAGCGAGAACATTTGGGCCACTATAACTTAAATGAAGTTCACTTTGCAATTACACTGGGCAGAGCCAATGCATTGTAACAGAAATAGCAGTTCCTTGGGCCATGGCAACAATGTTACAGCAACATTTAAGCAGCCTCAGAACTGAGACTCATACCAATCATTATGCAGGTTTCACTACCATTGAAATATGCTAGGTTTTTTTTTAAATATACAGCAATTGTACACCACAATACATAGCAAAAGTAAAGATGTAACTACATCTAATCAAGACTGCAACCAAATAGCTAGAATGTAATGACTTGAGATGGAACCTGCCTAGGACACTAAAAAACACACCCTACTTAAAAAAAATGCTGCAGAAGTCTGGAAAAGCCTCAAGTGATCAAAAGCCTGGTGCAAATACTGTTGCATACATTTCCCATTTTTCATGAAGAACAGACTTGATCAGCTGGGGTACTAATTGTAACTAACCTTAGCATAGGATTGCTATGTTGGTATTCTGCATGGATTTTCTGATGTCATGGTACATTCAGGGATTTATCTTGGCCTTAGAATGAGGTGAATACCAGTACTGCAGTGTGTCTAGTAGCAGAGTTTGAAGACCTATTGCTGATGAATTGGAGGAGATCGGGTGATGGGAAAAGACAAGGGGCTCAGTATTTTTCTGTGCATTATAAGAGTGGAGAATCGACTCACTTTATTAGCATCACCAAGGAGACAAAATAAGTGAGAAAGCAACAAGGCCACCTCCAAAGAGTGCATAAACTTAAAGGGAGGAACCTGAGTGTCCCAAAGTTGTCATACTCAGGGAGGTATATGGCTACTGTATATATTTCAGGTTACTTTGTCTCCCCGCCCAACCCCAAAGACCACAAAACCACGAAGGAATGTGGTTTCAGCATCTTTCAGGAAGAGCTCATAAGTGCATATCATGTGCCTATACCTAAAAGATACTTTGTGCATTGATATGCAGATCCTAGAAAGTGCTGGTCACCTCTCGCCAGGTGTTCTGTTCTCAGCATCTTGCAGGATAAAGGCCTATAGTGAGCAAAGGCTAATTCTTAATTAGCCATGTAAGATTATTAGTAGAGAACTGATTCGCAGATTTTCAACTAAATGTAACCATATACTATTTTGTCAAAGCCAGAATGTATTGTGGAGACATATACATTTCAATTACATTTTCAAAAGGTAAGATTTTTGAGATCCACGATGGACTTTCTCATCACTTGTGACACGAGAAAGAGACCTGAATCAAAAGCCTAATATTTTTGATCTGCTAATGGGCATTTTGACAAAATTATAGTTTTGCAAAACTATTAGGTTTTATTTTCATTCTAATGTAGAGTAAAGCAAAATTTGAAACCTCAAAGGTTGTCACAAAATGGATTTGTTATCTGTCGACTATATCTATTATGTTTAGAAAACTGTGTGTTTTATACAATGTGTATTTTGATACTAGGGAATGTTATACTGCATAAAAACATTATGTTGCAAAGAAAAATTGAGAGGAAAAATCTGTAGAGTGGGTTTTTTCTAAAGTCAATTAACTGGAATACCTGTGGGCACAATTAATAATGTAATTCTTTCATTTCTGTTCAATTCTTTTTGCTATGTTATGAAGAAAATGTGTAGACACAGCTTTTATTGCATAAAATGTACAATTTAGTAATGCCATTCTTAGTCAGAGCATTTCTACACTAGCGAGATGATTGAGTCTCCAGAGGTCAATTTAGTGGGTCTAATGTAGGTTGATCAATAGAATGCTGAGAGCAGCCCTAACTGGTGTCCAGTACTCATTGCTCTATGAGGAGTAAGGGAATTTAACAGGAGCATGGTCATCTGTCGGCTTCCCGCTATATGGATGCCACTACGGCTTGGATTAAGGTAAGCCAACTCCAGCTATGTATTTTGTGTAGCTGGAGTTGCTTACTTTAAACCAACCTCCTGGCTTAGTATAGACCAGGCCTTCGAGTCTTGATATCACTGCATGAATTGAATGGTTCTTCTAAATACCTGCACATATTCTGATTTATTTATTTGAAAACAAGAAATGTGTCAT